GGAGAATCCGTGCTTCTCGCATGGACAACTGTATGTGGCCGGCTCACGCGTCGAAAAACCTTCCGATTTATTCGTGTACGCACCAGACGGAAAAACAAAAAATATCGTGTATCCACAAACACTCCAATAAATAAATAGAATTGAAACGATACTTTGAAATGTTTTCCTGATGAAAATGAATAATAATAAGTTTCAATAAAAATAATAAAATGTAAATTGAATTTTATCATAACAAGTTTGCTTGAATTTCCTTTCTTCTGAGATCGCAGCAATGCACGACGGGTAAGCTAGTAAGCAATAAACAAAACATTGTAACATTGTAATAAGTGAAAACTGTACAAAACATTTCATACATTACTACTATACAAACAAACAACTCTACTAAACCCGATACCTTGTAATATGAAAGCCAATTATGTTACCCAGACCTCCGGTCTGAGTAGCATAATTGGCAACACACATGCACAGTAAGCAGGAGTTAAGAGTTTGAGTCCCACTCCAGGCCAATTCTTTTCTTCCAGTAGTTCTAAATTATTTAATTAAAAATTATAATTATTAAATTTATTAAGAGATTATGCCTAATGCTTCCCTCTAGCGTCAAATTATTTGGTAATTGATTAATATTATAGCCATTATTAGTCCGATAACATATGGCAGTAATAGGCTTTGGTATTACAGCTATACAAAATACTTTTAAGAGATATTAAGAAATCAAAAATAAGCAGCTTTATTAAATGAATAAGAATTTCAGATTGTCCAAAAAAAATCTTGATTAGATGTCTACATAAGGTTTTTAATTGGCAATTTCTTTATCTCTAAGCCAATGAATAAAACAATAAACTGATTTGGTTTTACTGCTATGATTTTACATCATAATAGTAAAATCAAATCAGTCAATTGGATGAAGCTTGGAAAAAAAAATATATATATATACGAGTTTCATTGGATAACATAAGTAATTCAATAGCAAGTTACAAAGTAGAGAAATTCTTGGAATAAAATAACTAACAGTGGAAAAAAACATAATAATTTATTTTCAACACAAAAGTCAGAAATAAAATAAAGCTAACAAGCAATTATTTATTGTGACATGGTCACAATACAAAGCTGCAATTTTTAATCATTTTTAATTTATTTCATTTAAAATATGTGCTCTCCAACTCAAATTAGTACTGGCTTGCCCTGTACATCATACTTTTCATTTAACAATAGAGTCTTGCCAGTCATATATCTAACACCTTTCAGGGGAAAATTTTTGAATTGAAATAAAATGACTTTTAATACATATCAAAAGTTCATATATAGTTAATCAGGACCACCTGCCCTAAGGTTTCCATATCTAGTCTTGAATTTCATTTATCTTACACTGTTCTTGAGATTTATGGAAGACAGACAGATGATGACAGTGGAAAGTTATAGATGTATAATTTTTTTCAAATTACAGCCCATCATGCTAACTGAAGTGATGTTACAAAAGCAACTAAAAGCCAGTACAGTGGATTGATGAACTCTAGGGAAATTTGCTCAGGTCACTCATGTGGCTTTTCATGTTATGTACTAAGTTAACCAAGCAACTCTCCATAAAGTTATATTATCAATCATATCTTCCTAAACCTGAGGTAATGACTGTTGTTAACAGTAAAGATAAATGAGTTCTCTCAAGAAGCACATCTCAACTTTATTAGAGCATAGAGTTCTCAAAAACAGGATTCAAAAATGCATAATACATAAACTCTTGTACAACACGTGACTAGTACATATGCAAAAATTGAATTTTGTCGTTCAGAGGTATACATTTTTTCTCCCCCAACTTTTAGGCCTAGGTTTAAACTCACATAAATCATGTGATAATGCAGATTTTAACAACACGTAACATTTCCCCCGTTTTGTATGGGACTCCACTGTATATAACCAACAAGATTACTAAACTGGCAACTTTTACAACAGAGGAAACTTTGAATCAGCATCTCAAAACACAAAGGTATTATTTTTAGCTGACTCTATCTTAATGAAAGTGAAGCCATATAATCAATCAGTTACAAAAGACAAACATTTAGGGGTTCCCGTTTAGGATTACTTATTTTGTTAATAATAAATCTAAATATTTTAAATTTTTTTAATAAACATTAAATTTTACACGTTTTGAGTAGGTTTCGGTTTTCAAATCAAACGTGTTCGAATTGAATTCGAATTTCCTATTTCACTTTTCAAAACCAAAAATCTTTCAGGCAAGTTATGTTCTATTCAAGAATTGCCTGAAGAGCGATGAAAGTATTTGCAATTTAAACTTCTTGCATTAACATTTCATTAGTGTATCTCGAGTATCATCGAGAATGCACCTTGCAAACTTTGTTACCGCTTTATTCAATTCTTCATTCAATTTATGAGAACACAAAAGGAAAAATTATTCGTAAAATCTTTACCTTTTCATCCTCATAAATGAAATTGCACGGTATTTCTTTCCGCAATATCTTTCCGAAGATAGTATCTCCAGACGGCATGGCTTGCTGCGCCTTGCTCACTTCTGACGCCATGTTCTTACTCCGCACGAGTAATTGCACTCTCGGTCTCAGCAATCTACAATTAATATTACTATTTTTATTTTCTTATTCTAACTAAAAAATAATTTAACTAAGTATTTGAATAAGATTATATAATTTGTAGCATGGCTTTTCTTTAGTTGTAAAAAGAATTTTAAAACGATAACGAGAGTAACAGCTGGTCGGATGGTGTAGAAGTTGAATAGTATTTTACAATAAAATTAATAAACGAATTAACAACTTATAATAATATCACAAAATTTATGATATTACATTATTAGATTTTAGGGTAATATATAAAGGAGTTTTAAAACATCCATTAAATAAAATTTAACATAAACAATACCTAAATATTTGAGTAAATGCCATTCTTTAGCTGCAGTTCATTTGCATTAAATTCACATAATAATTTTTTCGAGTTAGAAGCTAAAGTTACTTTATTAATTATTAATAAATTACAATAGAATGATTTTAGAAGCAAAATTTATCAATCTAAATGAACTATTTGTTATCACGTGATATTCGATAGATAACATTAACATAAGCACATTGATAACTTAAAAAATTGCATTCATTGAATGAAGTACGGTATTCAATAAATATTCTTAGTACGACTGGATGGCTGAGGTCAATTTTGCCGACTAGGGCATATCATAATTTCCTTGGCAGTGTCCAAAATTCCCTGATTCGCATACAATTTCCCACGTCATAAAACGTTTCAATAACACCTGGAAAATGTCTTTATAACTTTACTTCATTTTATATAATTATTATTATGTAATAAACGATTTAGTTTTCTAATTACTAAATACAATCAAAGAAATCCGGCAATGAGTTGTTTAATTAACTTTCCGGACAAAAGAATCTAAACTTGTGTGTGGCGTCATCTGTTAAAACGTTTTATTTTTAAAAAGCTTTTTATACTATTAATTAATTATAAAAGGGCAAAAAGCTTAATTTTGAATGATGAGGTAAGTTGCAAACAAATTACAAATACTAATAATGAGTAAAATCTTCAATAAGTTCTATCCCACTTCATATATGAGAAGTGACTCTCCTCCTTAACCACCATTTGATAGCATCAATTCCCTTATATACAAACCTCTGCAAAATTTAAGCAGATCAGTGATGGACTACTGTTTTGTATGTATATCAAAGTATAACGGTGGTTGTATATATAGTATTGTATAATTATATCAGTGGATATACTCTGTTGTATATATAGTATTGTATAATTATATCAGTGGATAATTATATCAGTGGAGCATCGATTATCCGACTCAATTGGGGCTGGGTTGGTCGGATAACTGAAAAAACGGATATCCAAAAAATATGAAAAAATATATTATTAGTACAGTCGACCCCCCTATAATTACGGTCCTTATAATTACGATTCCTATAAAACTACGAAAAAATATACGTATTTTCGAAATGTTGAGTCGGATTAGTGTAGAATCGATTAATTTTATGGAAGAAAACCTTTCAATCAGCCGTAGTCCGTAAACTTGACACGTGTCGGGCTGTGATTGGANTATTGTGCCTCATATCAAAAGAATTTGTAATTCAAAGGTACAAAAAAAAAACATCAAAATCATTTAAAAAATGATATTTTACTATATATATATATAAGGCACAATATTAGAAAGAAATCATTTAATGGCAATTCCTTATATTTTTGTTTTAAATCAGAATCATTAATTAAATCAATTAAATTTTCAAAATCACTTGTGCTGAACCTTGAGTACTCTCCAATATTTTAAATTAGATGGATAGAGCTGTTGAAGGAAAACAAGTTACACATATTCTTTGAATTTCTGTTCTTATATTTCATATTATATGAAAATAAATCCCTTTTATGATTCCAGACATTTCACATCCTGTATATTCTTATCATTATAAAATAATCTAGATAGCTAATTAACTATAAATTATTCATCACCACCACTTTTTAATAAGGAAATTTCAAATATTTTTATTTCAATTAACAAAATTTACATTAAAAAAAAAAAAAAGAATTTGGAAATTATTTAAATGTTATTTGCATTGAATTATGTTGTGGGATATTATAATTTTAATCAAGTAATTTTTCTTATATCTAAGGAGTTTCAATTTAATCAAAAAATAATATAATTAGCAATAACAAACAAACAAAATTTTTGACTTTACAGGCTTTAGCCAGGAGGCCATCCCATTTGTCGACCTCCAAGAACATGCATATGAAGATGGTAAACAGACTGACATCCTTCTGGACCATCATTAATAACTAGACGAAAACCTTTATTAAGATTTTGCTCCTTTGCCACTTTCTTAGCAACCAACATCATGTGACCTATCAACTGAAATGAAACATTTAACATTGATAAATTCTCTCAAAATAAAAAGACATCTTTAATTACAATTATAATCCATAATTCAAAATATACATCCTTAAATTTGTTTCCATTTTTTTACATACAATTACACTAAAATTTAAAATCAAAATATTTTTATTGTAATATTTTAAATACCTTAATTATTATTTAGAATTGTTTTTACATTCAAAACTCTATATAATTTTTTCTTTATTAACACAATGAATATAGTTAAAATTTATAACATATCTTAATAATTTGCATAATGAAATCATAATCACTTTCTTCAGAGAAAATGTTGTATTGGCATAAAACAGATAAATCTAAAAATTTTCTAACTGCATAAAAACAGAGTTACAGAGCAAGAAACAAGGAAGTATAAATATTTGGCACATAGTAGAATCTCATATTGAGAGATCACAGAACAATGGATTTTTCCCTAGGTCCTGCCAATTCAATGTAATTTCATCTTTTAGTAGATCCCTAACTCAGAATAATGGATTTTTTTTTATAGTTCCAGCTACTGTAAACATTGCATTTTTTTCAGCATTTAATTAATATTCAGGTGTTTCCAGGTACTGAATTTTAAAAAAATATATTGCACATGAAACAAAATATATGCATAATCATCATAGTTCACATTGGAAACTTTGCAGCCATGTACCAGTGCCCTCCTGCAGGCATTGATTAGCAATGAAAAGATATTTTCAGTTGTACTCAATGGGCAGAAAAGTAGCATCAAAACAAACCAAGATGGATGAGATTTTTTAACAAATCATGAAAGTCAAGTGAAGTACTAATGAGCATATGTACTGTACTTTTCCTCTTTTTGTGCTATACAGTTTCTATCAGCTTTGTCTTACACATATATGGCATACTAGACAATCTTGTAACATATGTGTTTCTAAAGAATAGAGATCTCACAAGACTTAATAATTTCAAGCACATGTATTTCTTATATGTAAGGAATAAAAAAAAAAAAACAGAATTTTTTGAACAGATATTTTCCTGGCTGTAAGGGAAATCCATTATTCATAACGTAACAAATTTTCAGAACAACAGATGATTTTCAGCAGCCTGAGCAATCCATCAAAATAAGATTCTACTGTAAATATCAATAAAAAATGTTTAAAGAAGTGTTAGTCTTTAGCACTACTGACTGATATGCACATATAATACCATATTTTGAAGTTTTATAATTATAAATGTTTTCTGATCTCCTATATACCATAAAACACTATCATAAACATATCCATCAATAAATCATTCTTCTCTTCTTTGCTTATTCTTTAATTTCTTAATGAATTTGACTTATACAAAAATGTAATTCAATTTGCAATTTTCTGCTGTTAAGACAAGCTTACATTATATAACATTAATATTCTTAAATTTAATTGTTTCATTATTTATGAAACAATTGTTTAAGACTGTTAATGTTATATGCAAATTTATGACCAATAGTCAATTATTTATACTAGAAAGTCTATCATACTGAAATAAAATCAGTTATAAAATGATCCAGGATAATTGATCCTTGACCAATGATTAATCTTTCCTATTGATCTTTATGCCATCTTTACTTACAGTATTTTTCTTCTAAATGCAAGAAATGTATTCATTCCATATGCTCATTCTAAAGCTCTCTATAAGATATTATAGATGGAGCATTCATATACCTAACAAGATTCAATCTATTGCTATATAACTTGAGCATTATTTTGTTACTAAATGTTGCCTTCTATTATAGTTATCAATGTTTTAATGAAAAATCTGATATCATCACCTAATTAAAAGCCTATTTTAAAATTTTTACAGCAGAATTTTTAGACATTACAAATATACAGTAGAGCCTCGATTATCTGACTCAATTGGGGACTGGGGTTGGTCGGATAATTGAAAAGTCGGATAACCGAAAAGTATGAAAAAATCCATTACAGTAGAGCCTCGATTATCCGACCCAATTGGGGACTGGGGTTGGTCGGATAATTGAAAAGTCGGATAACCGAAAAGTATGAAAAAATCCATTATTAGTGTAGTATATTATTATATCCCATGTAATTAGTATATTAGTATATCGCTATTAACCTACTTCGCGTTGAATTTTCATCGATGTTAAGCCTAACAAAAATTTTTTAAAATAATAATCGTCGCTATTGTATCGTTAAAAATTATAAAATTAAGCCTCATTTAAATACTGGCTCCCTTTCATGGTCGATCCAGTGTTGCCAGCTAAAACACGTAAAAATAATATTAAAGTAGCCAAGACATAGCCAAACATTGTAGCGCCACATCACTAGCGGACATTTGAAATTTGCCGACTATAACCTATAACGGTCGGTTAATCGGGGATCGGATAATCGAGGCTCTACTGTATATAGAATGTTACGAAAAGTCATGTAACAGCAAATATTTATTATTTAAATGAAGTAAAGGCTCCTAAAAACATCATTTGCTTTAATTTAACACAAAATAATTTATAAAACACTAGCTGTTACCTGCAGCTTTGCCTACACGGATTTTGCAATTTGATAGAAATAACCCTCCCTCAGTACTTCGCCAAGATTCTCAATCATTAGTTGTTACTAATTTGGCAAAATTACTGAATTTTGTTTCAAACTATGGACTGCTAATGCACCTAAGTTCAAGTTTAAAATATTATGGGATTCCGAGATACGATAAATCTGAATTTAACTTTTTTTTCAAAACATACGTTATCTGAAAATTCATAAAGTATAAATATTTACAGAAAAATAGAATTTCAGTTACTCCAGTATTTCTTTGTAAACTATGTTTGTGGTACTGCCTTTCAGGACTAAGACTTTTTAAGCCTTAATCCTCTCCCTCTCACCCCTCAGGAATTTCCAAAAATCTCCTTAAGTGTGCATATTCATGTCATACCCTAACTGTATACCAAATTTCACCTTATTAGGTTCAGTGATTTGCTCTGGATGATGATAAATCAGTCAGTCAGTCAGTCAGGGCATGTAATTTTATATATATAGATTAGTTAAAACTTGGTTTAAAATTTATGGTTCAGAATGTTCAATTGTTAACTTTAAGTATTTAAATCTCAATTATTAATACAAAAATTTTAATTTTTCTTAATTTATTAAAAATTACCTGTTCATCTTCCTCTTCACATTTTGATAACTGTGGTATAGCTTTCTTAGGAATCACTAAAAAATGAACAGGTGCTTGTGCATTAATATCATGAAAGGCCACACACTGAAATATACAATTAAAGTAATTGAAAAGAAGGTATAATTTTAAAAACTAAATGTATAACAAATTAACTTTAACAAAGTATAACAAAATGTATAACAAAGTATTCTTTAATTTTACTTAAAGTATACTTTGTAAAGAAATTGTAGACCAGAGCATAAAAGTTTCATTATTCCATCCATATAAAAATTCTTATTTAATAAATAATTATATTTGTTAAATATGACACTTATGTACTCATTCTTTAACAGAAAAAAATATATATAAATTATATTTGATGATCAAAGACAAAAAATTTTTATTTGTAAATAAATTATAAGACAACTTTGTTTATTGTCACCCTTTTCTTAAAATGTATTTGTCCAAAGTATGCAAAGTGACAGATCTGCATGTTTTACAAAAAATATAGTAGTTAACAACAACCAATGAATCAGTATAATAAACCTAATTCATTGATTCTAGTTACTAATTTTAGAAAAAAATAGCTAATACTATATATTAAAGAGCTGTTTGCTTGTAATATTTTGAGTAAACATAAGACACTATACACTACATTATAATCATACTTTGGAACAGAATTATAAGAAGTCAAACTAAGGAAAACTTTCTATTTGCTTGGAAAAGATTTATTTTTCATAGCACTCTATCAGAACATAAAACCAAAAGTAAAAGAACTGACCTCAAACTTTTAACAAGGAAGCCATTAATTGTCTTTAAACTTTTGGATTCTGAGAAAGCAAAATTTAATGTTACAGTTTATCTTTTATTTGGAACAAATTATATATTTGAATAAATTTCAGTTCCATTTAATGCCTATTTGTGTCATGGGCCTCCATAAATTATCAGAATTTTTAGTGTCACAACCAAAAAGATTGGAAACTGGGATTTAAACCATTCATTGGAATGTTGATAACAGGTTTCAATGGGTAAGGCTTATGGAACTAGATATCTATATATATAAAAATGTGTGTGTGTGTGTGTTTGTGTGTGTGTGTGTCTGTCTGTCTGTCCTTCATGCATTACCACACCGTTTATCCGATTGCCGTGAAACTTTGGGAAGTTGTTTAATATACTCTGGCGAAGGTTTGTGGCATAGTACGATTGCCATAAAACTTTGGAAAGTTTTTTTAGTTTTTTAATACACTCCCGCAAAGTACATTTATCCTACAATAGATGGCACGCGTTTACACGAGCATTCGCGCACAGTGTGTTCGATCGATTTCAAATTGTGAAGACCATTTCCCCCCTTCAAAAAATATCTCTATATATGCATTTGTGAACTGTTATTTACGATATTTGTAATAATTTTTGTTTAATCACTTTATTTCAACTTT